CTGACTCCTGCTCCTCACACAGCTGAGCTTCATCAGAAACACGACTGGAGGGGCCAGGCTCTTCATCAAGCCGTGAGTCTTGTAATTCATCAGAGCCTCCCTCTGACCCTGATGGCCCCTCAACGGCCTCCTCCACCTCCTCCTCAGATTCCTCAGACTCAGCTGTTGGGAACACAGGCTGGCACGGAATCACAACACTGGCATCCAGAATTGGCTGTTATATTCTAGCTGAAGTCTGACTAAGGTGGAGCAGAAAGGAGGAATATTTGCTTTTGCTTTTGATGATAAACTTATGTTGATGCAGCCTAGGATTGCATGTGTCTCCTTGACAACTGCGTCCCTCTTAGTGGATGTTCACAATTTGACCCAACCAGAACTTCTTCCCAAGAACTGCTACCAACCATAGTTTCTCCAACCACAGGCCTTTGGTTTTTGCAGAAGAGCTGTAGAAATTGGGAATCTTTAGCCTGTAGAAGAAAAGATTATGGAATACATTGTAGTTGCCTCTAAGGATCTGAAAGATTGTTATGTGGAAGATTGGGCAGATTTATTCAAAAAACCAAGGCAAGAAATGATGAGTTTAATTGGCAAGAAACAGCAGCAAAAAAAATCTCAACAGCAAGAGCATCCTGGGAGAGGGTTCTTCAGGAAGTTTCTCTTTTGCTAGAAATGTGTGAAAAAAGGGTAGGTGGCGATCGAATGACTTTGTAGATGGCCTCCAATGCCTCTTCCACCACTCTAGGATTCCAGAAATGCTCTCCCGCCTGCCTCTTCTAGTGGCATGCAATCTGGTGGGAAGTAGAATGGGCTGTTTTTTCTTTCTCACTCTTCCTGTTCTCTGAGTCAGGTATTCCCTTTGGATGCCCTCCCTTGGGTGGGGCTGCCCTGATACTGCCTCCTTGCCTGGGGAGACCAGCTCAGGACCATGGCTTCAGAATGGAGGAGCATTCAGCAAAAGTCCCATGTGAGGGTCCATTGACTAGCCAGGAAGAAAAACCAATTTCTCTTGTCAAGGGAGGGTCTCCATTGGGAGACCTGAAGCCAGCTGCTCTCAGAAACCTGGCAGGAAGGCTGGGCTGTGCAGAGTAATCTTTCAGGTCAAGCCAGTTTCTTCCCTGCCTGGCTCTGGAGGTTGCCACACACAGCTAGCAGGGAGTGAGCCAGGCAGGTAAGACAGGTGAGCTTCCCACTCAGCACAGTTGTCCCAGAGCTACATTGTTGGCTGCTGGCAAACCTCTGAAGCTCATATGTATGCTTGAAGGAAGGCAGAGGGCCATGGGCCTTGAAAGGTTGCAGTGACCCACCAGGGCTCTTGGTGGTGGGAAGAGGCCATGGAACAGCTCCCCCACCTGGTAAGTCAGCTCAGGGAGGGAGGGAGGGAGGGAGGGAAGGACTTGCTGATCACTGGAGTGATGGGATGTGGTCACTAAACAATACATCTTCCTGGAATTGGTAGAAATGAGCACCAGAGAGGAAGGAGGAGTGGCCTGGGTCTCCAACAGTCCTAGGACTGGATGGCTTTCTATTCTCTGCGGCTGTTCCGGGGGGGGGGGCACCTCCTCCATAAACCCTGGGCAACACCAAAGCAGTTCTCCTTGGGCAAATGCTGTAAACCCCCCCCCCCCAGGCCCTCTTCCCTTGCCCAGTGCTCTCACCAGAATTTGGGGTGAGGGGGTGAGGGCTAGAACAGATTGTGGGCAGTCTTTCTATTCTGTGATTCTTCCCTTATGATAATCATCTTAAGAGCATTTGCCACCCCACCCCACCCCCACCCCATTACAGTCCCCTCTCATTTCCTGTATCTAAGATGGCAGGAATAAGCTGGTAGGAATAGCTAACACCCCAGAAGACAAGCTTAGGATCCAAAAAGACAGACTTGAACAATGGGCCCTCACCAACAAAATGAAATGTAATATGGAGAAAAGCAAGGTTTTACACTTAGGCAGGAAAAACCAAAGGTATAAATACAGATTTGGCAAAACCTGGCTCAAAAACAGTAACTGTGAGAAAGACCTTGAAGTCCTAGTGGACGATCATTTAAACATGAGCCAGCTGTGTGCAGCAGTAGCCAAAAAAGCAAATACAATCCTTGGTTTTATAAAGAGAGGTATAGAATCAAAATCACATGAAGTATTAGTACCACTTTATAAAGCCTTAATAAGGCCACACTTGGAATACTGCATCCAGTTTTGGTCACATCACAAAAAAAGAGGTTGAAACTTTGGAAAAAGTGCAAAGAAGAGCAACTAAGATGATTAAAGGCCTCGAGATTAAAACATATGATGAACGGTTGCAGGAATTGGGTTTGGCTAGTCTAGAGACAAGAAGAACTAGGGGGGGGCATGACAGCAGTATTCCAGTATTTGAGAGGTTGCCACAAAGAAGAGGAGGGGGTCAACTTATTTTCCAAAGCACCAAAGGGCAGGACAAACAATGGATGGAAACTGATCAAGGAGAGAAGCAACCTGGAATTAAGGAGAAACTTCCTAACAGTGAGGACAATTAACCAGTGGAACAGGTTGCCTTTAGAAGTTGTGGGTGCTTCATCACTGGAGGATTTTAAGAAGAGATTAGACAGTCACTTGTTTGAAATGCTTGAGCAGGGATTGGACAAGAACTCCAAGGTCACTTCCAACTCTATTCTGATTGATTGATTGGTAGGCAAGGCTTGGTGCCAACCTCTCACCCTTTCAAGAAGCCCAGTCCTTTTGGAGTAAAAGCAAAAGCTTTTATCTGCAGCAGCCAAGGAACAGCAGCATTCTCTGTCCCCTTCCAATCCCAATCAGCAGAGAGGGGGCAGGGCTGGGTCATGGTGGTGGGGCTCCTTTCCTCTGGCTCTTTGCCTCCCATCTTCTCCAGACGGTTGGACGGTGCTGGTCTTTCCCATCTCTGTTCTGGCACACTTTTCGAGAATTGGTGCTGCCAGTCTAGGACGCAAAGTGAACTGATGGGAATAGGCTGTGGCACAAAATGCTGGAACTTTGGCCCAAGGAACTTGTTCCATTGCCTGATAAACTTAATGTGCATTATGCTTCAGTTGCTTTTTGGTTGGCATAACGATCTGATTTAATCCTTGTGAATTATATGAGTTGACCTAATTTATGATTAAAAATAACCTGGGAAATAATTTCCGGATGCATAATAAATAAATCCATTGTGGAGAGACTGAAGGAGGCTGGGTGGGACTGAATGCCAGCCCCCCCCCCTAGATCCAGTGGGTTCTGCCCTATGGGAAAGAGCAGTGCGGGCCAGGAAGCAGAGCGCAGGGATGTTTAGCTGAGCAGCCAGTCTTTGTCCATGGCTTCAGGGAGGCTTTTGTGGTCAGACCGCATCTCTGGCAAGTGATGTGTCTGGCAAGCCTTGGAAGGGAGATGTTTGATGGATGTGGGTACATTTGCCAGAGGGCTCTGGGCCAAGGTTTCTCAACTCCCCTCCCCCTGAGCTTCTGATTGAAAGGAATGGGCATGGCCAAGGTCTGCATTGTCCGGCCTGAAGGAGCATCTGCCAATAAGCTGGCATATCTAACTGGAGGGCTCCAGACTCCTTTTTGGCCCTGGTGTGGGAGGGGGGTTCAGGAGTTGTGGGCTCCCAACTGGTAAAGGGCAGCATCTCCAGGATAGTCCAGTGTCCTCCTTGAGCCCCGGTCAATCTCCCAGCCACAAAAGAACCATAGCAGAAGGGAAGTGGGGGAGAGAGGGATACGTGATCTAGACCCCTTTCAGTCAGGCTTGAGGCCCGATCATGCAACAGAAACAGAATTGGTCACACTTGTTGATCTCTGGTGAGAGTGAGATGGTGGTTGGGCGTCTATCCTCACTCTCCTTGACCTCTTGGCACCTTTCAGTGCCATTAACCATGGTATCCTTTTGGATTGGCTCTGAGATTTGGGACTGGGCAGGGTAGTGTTGCAGTGGTTCAATGCTTTTTTCTGTGGCCGATTCCAATCAGCATTAATAGGGGGCCAGAGCCTCTCCTTTGTGGGGTACCATTGGGCTCAGTACTCTTTCTGCCCAACTTTAACACGTACATCAGATGTGTCTAACCTTTTGGCTTCCCTGGGTTGCATTAAAGAAGAATTGTCTTGGGCAGCATATAAAATATATAATATAGTTAATGTGTATAATGCGTATAAATCACATAATAGTGTTAAAAGCTTACAAACTTGTTGGGCCCCATTACTCAGGGCTGCATGCAGCCTGCAGCCTGTAGATTAAATACCCCATTCCAACAAGAATGGAATGAGAGATTTCATCCCTGGTGACCCAAGTGATACCCTGGCTGCCCTTTTGCAGTGCCTGGAAGCCGTGGGGGCCTGGATGGGGGACAACAGGCTTCAAGGGAACCCTGGTAAGAGGGAGCAGCTGTGTGCATGCAGAGCCTTGGGATCCAGAGACTGGATGGTTCTGAATGGGGTGCAGACCTGGTGTGCATCCTGAGGGTTCTCCTAGACTCGTGGCTCTGCTCAAAGAGCATGTGGAAGTCATGGCCAAGAGAACGTTCACACAACTTTGCATGGTGTGCCAATTGCATCCTTTTCTGGACTGTGAGGCCCTGCGGCCCAGCCACTCGTGCTCTGGTCATATCCTATTCGGATTATTGCAATGCTGTCTCCATGGGCCTACCCATAATGTGAACTGCACTGGCTGCCGATCTGCTTCTGGGTGCAATGCAGGGTGTTGGTTATTCCCTTAAAGCCATTTAGGGAATGGGTCTAGGATATCTGTGGAACCGTCTTTCTCCAAAAGGATTGGCCCACCCCACTATGCTGGCAGGAGAGGCCTACTGTGGATCCCAGCAGCAGGGCTCCTGCCCTTTGGAACATCTTGCCAGAAGAAGTAAGGTTCTTTCTTTTAGCCTTCAGAAAAGGCCTTACAACTTGGCTACGCCAATTGACATTGAGTCCTGAAGCTGTTGGCTGGAGGTGGTTGGTGGGCTAACAGAGAAGGCACCCCACCTCTTTACTCCAATCCATGGTTTTTAGTTTGTTTTAATGTTTTGTAATTTTAATATGTTTAATATTTTAATTGTAATTTTAGTATGTAATATGTTTGATCTTTGTATATTTTATCATATTATAAGCTGTTTAGAATTTCCTGAAACCACAAGATGGGCAGCAAATGAATTTACTAATAATGATAAGGTTGTAAGTGAATCACAAACTGAGAATCTGATCCTCAGGGATGACATCAGGGTCCAGCAGCATTCCAGGTGGCCCAGGAGGAAGTTGCTACTTTGCAAGCAACCAGGGCAGGGTGACTCAGAGGGGGCTAAGAGCCACACTGCCCAATCCTGAGTCCTTTTGGGTGGCTGGGGTCCAGGCGGACATCCAACCAGGGGCCTGGACTGGCTTGTCAGGAGATTCATGGAGGAAGAGTCCCCTGCTGGTGCATCTCCAACAAGCACAACGCACACACTTCAGGTTGCTCCTCCTAAGAGGGTCAGGGCTGGGCCCTTTCAGAACAGAAACAGCCAGAAGGAAGAGCAACGAAGGCCTTGCCCTTGCCCTTGCCCTTGCCCTTGCCCTTGCCCTTGCCCTTGCCCTTGCCCTTGCGCCTGCGCCTGCGCCTTGCCTTGCCTTGCCTTGCCTTGCCTTGCCTTGCCTTGCCTTGCCTTGCCTTGCCTTGCCTTGCCTTGCCTTGCCTTGCCTTGCCTTGCCTTGCCTTGCCTTGCCTTGCCTTGCCTTGCCTTGCCTTGCCTTGCCTTGCCTTGCCTTCAAAATGGAGAAGGCAAAATGGAGAAGGCAAATAGTTCAGGTAGGCAGCTGCAACAGGAGCACACCCAGTTCCTTGGCAAAGAGGCCTGCTCAGAAGCAGCTCAGGAGGAGTCCCTGGGTATTCTCTTGGCCTGTGGTGCCTCTGGTAGAAAGAGTCCTTGGCTGTGAACAGCAAGCTTGCTGGAGAGAAAAGAGGGGGTTTAGGACCACCACTCCTGTTTGATCCTTGATCCTTTGGTCTTCTTTGCCCACAGGAGGTGCTGAGCTCTGTTTTCTATGCCTTCCCACCTGCTGTCTCTCAAGAAGCCCCATCAGGTGAGACCATTCAAGTTTCCACCCTCAGATCTTATGCTACAGAAACCAGACCAAGCTCCCCACCCTGCATAGCTGGTGCAAGTCCAAGTGGTAAGACCCTGCTGGAACCTCCTAATGAGGGTGGGAGAATACATACAATGATGGAGCAGTTACACTGGGGAGGTCTAGTCCAGCCTCTTGCAATAGAGAGGAGCCCTAAGTAGGAGACTGGGAAAGGTAGCATTGGGGGGGGGGGTGGGCTGAAAGAAACAGAAGCAGTCATCTGGGAAGCAACCAGCCAGCTCTTCCTTGTAGCCTCTTGTCACTCTGCTCTGTTGTGCGAGATGGCAGCTTCAGCAGTCCAGCCCTCTGGTTATAGAGGGGAAGGATGGAGGAAGGCTGAATTCAGCCTGCAATTTAGCCCAACTCTTGCCTGCTTCCCAGTTCCCTCAGCTCCAGCCTGCTGGAGATTCCCAGAAGAGAAACCTCTTGCTGCTCAGCCTCCCTCTCCTCAGTCTTTGACTTCTCCTATGTAGAGACTTCAGCTTGTCCCACAACTCTCTTCCTTTCCCCATCCACAGCTTCCTCCAGCCCTGCTGCCAAGGTATTTTGGGGAATGGGCCCGAAGAGGGTGGCCCTCATCACCTGTCTTATCATCCTCATTGTGCTGCTGGTTGCCCTTATCCTGCTCTGTGAGTTTTTCCCTTTTCTCTTAGAATAATAGGATTGGAAGGGACCTTGGAGGTCTTCTAGTCCAACCCCCTGCCCAAGGCAGGAGACCCTATACCATTCCAGACAAATGGCTGTCCAATTTCTTCTTTAAAACCTCCCATAGCTCCAGGAGAGAAGCCGTTCCAGGAGTTAATTGTTCTCGCTGTCAGGAAATTTCTCCTTAGTTCTAGGTTGGAACTGTAATGATCCTCCACCAGTTACTTCTTGTTCTGCCCCCTATGTTTTGCAGGAATGACTTCCTGGTTCTTTCCACCTAGGCAGAAGCTCTCTGCTGATATCTGAGGGGAGGCTCAGTCCAAAGAGCCAGATCTCCTTGGTGACCAAAGGAATTATCAGCACAGTTTCCATTTCTGGTGAGATCAGGTTCCATGACGGAATGAGTAATATTTGCAACCTCGGATGTGTGGCCATGCCAGTGGCTCTGCCTCAGACCAACCACTCTCTGCTCTAATGGGGTGAGGGACAACTACAGACCCCCCCCTCACTTTTCTCTTGCCTTCTGTTGCAGGACAGGAAACACGGCTGAGTCCCTGGGAGGGAGGGTCAATCTCACCCCCAGGATTACTTTGTCTTTTTGCAAGAATGTTGCTGCCTCATACAAAGACTCCCTCCTCCCGTGTTTTTTCAAAAGCTGTTCTATTGTAGGCAATATCACTGCACATTCTGTACCCCTAAATCTCACCCTTACGCTGTGGTGGAGGAGGGCTACCCTTTTTTTGTGAGTCAAACACTGGCCAGTGACTTTCTGAGCAGGGAGAGGTCCATCTTTTTCTCCTTCTCAGATTCACAGATTGTCCTCCGGAAGGGGCATGAGCGGTAATTTCTGAAAAAGGAAATAGCCTACTCTGATACAGAGAAATGCATGTGAGTTGGTGTAAATGGGTGTCCCAAATTTCCAAGTGATGACTCTGCAGAGCCTCAAGGAGAAAACCAGATTTTGACCTGGTTTCATAGTTATTCCTACTTCATGGAAGTTTGCTGGGCCCATATTGCTCACAGGACATGCCAGAAACGTTTTCTTTCCTTTCTCTATTGTTGACTTTGGAATCCATACAGAGGAAGAGAAGGAAATAGAAGGAAACCAGCTGCATGCCAGGACTCCCTCTCCTCCTCTTCTTCCATTCATGCAATGGATGGAAACTAATCAAGGAGAGAAGCAACCCAGAATTTAAAAAAAACCTTCCTAACAGTGAGGACAATTAACCAGTGGGACAGTTTGCCTCCAAAAATTGTGGGTGCTCCATCATTGGAGGCTTTTAAGAAAAGACTGGACAGCCACGTATGAAATGGTATAGCCAGGTTTCACCTAATTTGCATTCATACATTTAGTTTTTCCAGGCAAAGTGTAAAACCTTACTTTTCTTTACATTAAATTTAATTTTGTTGGATAGGGCCTAGTGTTCAAGTCTATCACCTGGGGTGTTGGCTATTTCTGCCAGCTTATGTCATCTGCAAATTTGATAGTCCCCCTTCTATTCCCTCATCTAAGTCATTTATGAAGATGGCAGATGTACTGGGCCTAAAACAGAACCCTGGGGGTACCCCACTGTTTACTTCCCTCCAAGTAATGTATTACCATTAAGAACCACACATTGAGTATGATCTGTCAGCCAGTTACAAATCCTTCTGGTGTTCATGCTGTCTATCCCACATTTTTCTAGTTTAACAAGAAGTGGGTTGTGGTCTACTTTGTCAAATGCCTTACTGAAATCCAAGTATACTATGTCCAGAGCATTTTGCTGCCCTTCTCCAAAGCTGCTCAAAAGTACAGTGTCCGGAACTGGTCAATGCAAAATAAATTGAAATGATTCATTATGTACTTTGGAAATGACACATGACCCCCTCTGTGCCAGATGTCTGGCCCCTTCTGCTCCTTGGGGTGTGAGATGTTTCATGAATGTGCCGAGGATGTGCCTAGGATTAGATCGTTTTGGAAACTGGCATCTGATCCCTAGCAAATACTACTCAGATTTCAATGATGCCCCACAAGCATTGGGGCAGCAGCACAACTGATTTCTCTTTCTCATCCCCTTGTGCCACTTGCACAAGCAGCCCCAACTTGTCCCTCTTTTTGTGCCTCTTGGAGACACAGAAGGGGGGTGTGAGAAAAGGAAACGGGATGAGAAAGAGAAGCAGTTATCCTCTTAGCAAGTTTGCTGCCACAAGGAAAGGGCTTCCATGTCCTTTCTTCTCAATTGTTGAGGCTGCTGCACAAGCTGGTTTTTAATAGCATGGGCATCTTTGAATAGATGAGAAATGAACAAACTGTTGCATTTCTGTGCCACAGAGCACTTTCCCCGGAATCAGGGAGGTTCTGCTAGCATCCTTTGCATTATCATATTTTATTAAAAGGTGTGAGATGTAAAAACCCCAAATTTTGATACTCACAATACGAAGACAAGTCTGGTTAACAAGACAAAGTTTTATTGGAGAATAACACAAAAAGAATAAAAAGAGAAGAGAAGAGAGGCGTTTGCAAACGCGGCCTCCTGGATCCTTCCCTATGGATTGGGTTCCAGGAGTGCAACAAACAGTTTCCAAGCTTTGAATTTTATACTTTTCACAATGCATGTCACATCTAAGAAGCTCTTTCATCTTTATAGATGTACTTTGAAGTTGTACTTAACTCTTCCGTCCATCTTCTGTTAATCTTGTTTATTTGTATTTTTCACCTTGGGTCAAAATCCCTCTTTGATAGTGATTTCTACTCAAAGTGTAAGTTCCTGTGTCCGGAGGATTTTTAGGCAGGAAATAGTAAACATTTGGTCATAATTAATTATCTTTGCTGATTACCATTTGTAGTCACTTTACATGGGCAGGAAAAGTAAACATTCCTTCTCATACATTGGCATTGCATTGTTACATTTACGTTACAGTGTTACATTTGTACTAAAGAGACCGTTTCATATAATGGCATTACATTTCTACAATTATTTCTACAATTATTAAAAGAATAACTTTTATTTCCTTCAATCGTTACATTAGATCTTTATTGTTATATTTTATAAAAGAATAACTTTTATTTCTTTCACGAGCTGCAGCTGACTTCACCAGATATATGGATACAGTTTGGTGGTCAGAAATGATGCTACCAGGCTCCACCTGATTTTTGACTATCCTGGACTAACATAAATCTCCTTTAAAACTTCCCCCCTAGAGACTCGTCTATGGTGATGCTTGTGCATCACAATGCTGAGGAATGGTCTCTGGCACAAATGCTGCTTCCAATTCTCTGCAAGAGTCTCTGAAGGGAGCATACCTGTCACCCGCTGCCTAATAACAATAGGAACTGGGAACTTGTTCAGCTGACAATGCCAAATGCTGAAGAGGTGCAGTTGCAAGTGCCGTGTGCCAGACATTCCTCCTGGCAATCTAGATAGGACAGTTTATCCAAAGAGTGAGAAGCTCAGACGCTCTAATCAATAGCCTTTATGAGAAGGAAAGCTGAGGCGATGCGCAAGAATTCCAACAAGTCCCTTGTTTGTTTATTTCTCCCACTTTCTATGTGGGTGGGTGGTAGAAAGTTTGCATCTTTTGGGGGCCATCTGCATTGGTTCCCTGCTTGGTGGTCTGGAGTCAGAATTCCTTTTCTCAATGTAAGAAATAATTCCCCTGCTCACCTAAGCCTCAGTTTGTTCATTGTTCTTGCTTATGTCCTACTCCCAGTTTTGTTCTGGCGGTCCAGCACTGGCATTGTGTACAAGCAGCCAGCGGAGAGCTGCACTGACCATGCTGTGCGGTGCGATGGGGTTCCTGACTGTTCTCAGAGCAGTGATGAACTGGACTGTGGTAAGTCCAGAAGGTTTGGGGGAGCCAGAAGACGGAGCTTGGACTGAGGGGCTGGGAGGCTACTTCCCTCCCAGGAACGCCCATTCGGGTTCCTTCCTGTTCTCACCTGTTCTGCAGTGCGCTTTGGGTGGAACCAGTCCTTGCTCCATGTCTACTCAGGAGCAGAGAGGCAGTGGCTGCCTGTCTGCAGTCAAGCCTGGACGGAGGCCTTCTCCCGAAAGACCTGTCAGCAGCTGGGATTCCTCAAGTAATTCTGGGTCTCCTCATAAGGTGGGGAGGGAGTCCACTGAAGGAAGGAGAGAAGCTCCTGTTTTCTCTCAGCCTCTTGCTTGCTTTGCTGGTCCTGTTCATGTGCAGAGTGCCCTGGTGGCAACTTTGTAAGCAGTAGAAAGAGCTGTTTGTGGACTGTACTCCTTCAGATGAATGGGGGTGGGGTGGGGGACTTGTGGTGAAAAGAGATGAGGCTACTCATAAACTGAGGGTCTTGAGGGGCTGCATGCTGTGCTGGAGATATTTTGTAGTACATATAATGCTGACTTTTTAGCCACTCCTGACCAAGCTGTGTGCATGGTGGCCTGGCCTGCCAGGTGCTGGGGAGCTACTCCACAGCTACTCTGTGCAGCAAAACTGCCCTCCCCAGGCCTCCTTTAACTTCAGCTCCCTTCTGCCTCCCCAGCACTTCCGACACAGAATATGTCCCTCTGTCGTTTTCTGGGAAAAGTCTTGTGGCTGGTGAGATGCGAAAAACCATTCAGCAGAGTCTCAACAGGTAATGGGCTGCTTGGGATGAGGTGGTGGGTTGGGGCAGATGGACTCCGGGGACTTCCTGGCCAAGGACAGCTTGGTCTGCTAGGATCGCCCTTGGCTCAGTGACCCTCAGGGGTCATAGAGGATCACAGATCTGGTAAGGTTTGCGATTCATTGGTAGTGCATCAATGCACAAAGACACACCAAATTCTAGTCTTTTAACTGAAAAATGAAAAAAACCTAGCTCATCTTTAGCTTGTTCATTATTTGGCCAAAAATTGCTTTGGAAATGGAGTTGTACATTTCTCAAGATAGTTTGCTATGTGTTGTCTGGGACCAGAGCCATCTGCTATGACCTATTGTTACTGAAGACACCAATTTCCTTTAAGGAACAAGATCCCAATACATCAATAGAGTAATGAAGAATTAGAACATTCACACTAACCTTGACTGTGACCTCAAGACTAAGTGTAACAATTAATGCTTAGTTAAGCTCTTAGATCATGCTTTGGTAGAAGGTACTTGATCCTCCCATTTGGAATCACCACCAGAGGTGCCCACCTGCCCAAATCCAAATTCTGCTGTCATTTGGCACTTGGCTTTGTAGCACCCCTCCCCTCCAAATATTTCCACTTATCTCCCATCTTCTGCCCTGGCTTGACCATCTATAGGCTGGCAGATATCATTTGGTGCAGGCAGGGACCACAGCACTATGTCTACAGATCTCCTTCATGGAGGGCTTGAACCATTCGTCCTCAGTGTCATGTGTGGGAAGGGACTCATCCGTCCCTCATTGTCTCAATGTGAAGGGACTCACCTGTCCCTCATTGCTCTCTGCAGCTTCCCTCTCACTGGGCCCTCGAGAAAATGTGTCTTTCTCCCAGACAGGTAGACCGACTTGGGGATTCTGTGCGCTTCCCCTTTGGCTGGTGAAAGTCTCTGTTGGCTGCAGGCTCTGTTTCTCACTTAACCTCTGATTTGTTGATCTCCTCTATAGCTCCAAGTGCCATTCTGGAAAGCATGTTTCTCTCCGATGCACAAGTAAGGAGACAGAGGAAGGTGGAAGTGGGTGGGCCCTGGCTCTGACACCAAGGGGCTTTTGTATTTCTGTGCCATAGTTGAGGAGGGAGGAGGTAGCACCCTAGGGCTGACCTTATGCTCAGGCTAGGCTTAGCCACACTCTCTCTCCTTCCACCGAGTGCCCCTGCCTTTCAGGGCAGTACAGAGAATACTGTACTGTCTTCACAATTTGAAAAGCAATGAAAGTTATAAACATCATGGAGCAGAGCCTGTCAGAGTGGGGGAGGGAACCACCCTTGAAAACTGAGGATATGCACATCATGCAGGTTCTGCATGGGGCTGGGTGCTGGGTGGGAAAGGTAGAACAAAGACTTGGCTAACATAAAAGGACCTTACATGCATCTCTAGGTGGGTAGGTGTGGTGCATGTGTGTGTGGAGGGCTTGTCTGTGCTCCCCCAACTGAGGTTCTTGGATGTTTCTCCCTGCAGACTGTGGGCAACGGATATCTGGCCGCATTGTGGGAGGCACTGAAGCATCAGCCAGTAAATGGCCTTGGCAAGTGAGCCTCCAATATGGCTCTGTTCACATCTGTGGTGGCACTATCATTGATGCGCAGTGGGTGATGACTGCAGCCCACTGCTTCTTCATGTAAGGTTAACCTCTGGATTAACTTGGGAGGGCAGTGGGAGGCTCTGAAGATGCCCATGGAAGGGAAGCTCCCCACCAGGATGTCTGCCAGGAGGAGGAAGCCAAAGGGCCAGGCTACTGCAGAGAGGCACAACTTCCCATCCAGTGTCCTGTCCATTATTCTGTCATTTCTTGAGACCCAGCAAAGAAATGAGGACAACCCCCACCCCACCCTCATAACTGTCTCTCATCAGCGTCTTCTTTCGGATCAATTTGCTGTCTCAATTTGAATAACTAATTGGATTGATTTTCCAAAACAGCCCTTTGTATAGGATCAGGGTTGATTCCCACAGCCCTCATCTCAGAGAAATCTCCCTCTGGATATCTATGCTCTGAGCCAAAGGCAGAGACTCATGTAAACTTTTGCTTTTGGACTTTTTAGAAATAGCGTGAAAATCCTGGATGAATGGAAGGTCTATGCTGGTATTTCTGATCTCAAGCAGATGAAGGAGGGGATCCTGGTCTCTGAGGTCATCATTAATGCTAATTACAGTGATGACCATGATGACTATGACATTGCCCTGATGAAGCTCTCCCAGCCTTTGGGCCTCTCAGGTGAAGTTCTTGGATGCCTTCTGAGCGGCTCAGCTCAAATGCTAGGAGGCCCGTTTTAATTTTGTTCAAGGAAGGGCTCACTTGCTTGTCCCTCTGTTCCAGCTCAGGTTCGCCCAGCCTGCCTTCCCATGTCAGGCCAAAGGTTTCTTCCTGGGAGGGCCTGCTTCATCACAGGCTTTGGCAAAATCAGTGAAAATGAAGGTAAGGTGCGCGAGTGGACCTCATTTGCTACACTGTGGCACAGAAAAGGTGAGGTTCCCCCCACTGAACATGTTCTAATAAAGGCTAAGTAGTCACCTGCCAATATGCTTTAGGAGTGGGGTGGGGACGTCTTGGCTATAATGAACTTTTTCCATCTGAGTTTCCATGACAATTCCAGCACAGGAGGCTGAGGGATGTCCAGGGCTCTCTTTTCATCACATAATTTGTTTGCCTTTTGCAGAGAATACATCGCCCAAGCTGCGGGAAGCAGAAGTGAAGATCATTGACTATCGGCTCTGCAACAGCCATAATGTCTATGAGGGATTCTTGACCCCCCGGATGATGTGTGCTGGATTTTTGCAAGGGGGCAAAGACTCTTGCCAGGTAAAAGAGGCTTTCTTGCTTGGAGAGGAAGTGGAAGAGTTCTCCTATGCAACTTTAGACTGATGCAACCAGTTACAAATCTGGCAGGTTTTAGTAACTTGTAAATTTTCCCACACAAACTGAGACAGAGATAATGGAAGGTCATTAGGAAGATACTAGCAAATGTCCTTGAGGAAAAGAAAAGTGCTCATCTAGTCTGTGGTTCCATGTGAGGTCCTTGAAAGCAGATCCAGAATCCAATCCCTGGGCAAAGAACAGGCAAGACCTGGAAGGGATGGCCTCAGGACACAGGTCCGGAAGCAGGAGACTTTCTTCCGGGTAGGAAAGGGGTGTGTGTCTGGAGGACATGCTTCTATATTCTGAGTTCCCAGTTAAAGCTGCCTCCCTCCCTCTTGAGGTCTCCAATCTCCCCTGCCTGGTCATTTTTACCTGATGGCTTGACTGTGGCTCTGGCCCACTCACTCCCTGAAACAACAGCCAGATGCGCTGAGCCTAACTTGCAAGGGACGAGTAGCCTCCTCAGCCGGAGACTCAGAGTCCATCGGAGCTCACAAAATCAGGGGTGTCCATTACTGAGGCACCACAAGAACAAAGTCGAGGGGGGTCCCTTCTGGCAACCCTTCCTGATATCTTGCACACTTGCAGCTGATTTCGAGCTTTAGAGAGCTGCTGCTGCGGCTCTGGCCCCCAGGGCTCTAACCCCCCCAGTGGGACGGTGCTTTCACATTCAAAATTACCGTTGCTATCACTTTTACAGTATTTGAATGTGCTACATCTTACTCATTTAAAATTAGCTTTTTTTTTTTTTTTTTTGCAATTTAAACAGACCTTTAATATCAGTATATTTGAAAGTCAAATCTCGATGCCTAAGAGCAGCATAGAGACTACAGTTCTGGAAGTTTTCTCCCAGTTTGGACACCAGGAGGACAGAGAGGAGGAACATGCAATCACAGAACAATGATCAAACTCTAAATACATTGTGAGGTTTGGTCCAAAAACAAAAAAAAAACAACAAAAAACATTTAAACATAATTAATCCAATTACTGCAAACACAGCTTCTCTGAGTAAAGTTAGATATTGCATTTGTAGTGTAGGGTGTGCTTTCCCTTCAGCGAACCAGCGAGGCCTGCTTGAGCGAAATCAGCACTGAGCGCATGCGGGACACGTCTTTCGCCTGCTTGCTCGACTTGGGGTTAAAGTCACAGAGTCGAGCCACACGTTCCCACTCGGTGCCAGGAGACGAGTCATCAACATCATTCACAAAGACTTCTTCAGCTGCCCTGTTATTTGCTTTTGTTTTCTGTAGCTGCTCATCTTGTCTTGCATACCACTCCTCCAATTCCTTTATTGCTTTTTCCTTCCATTCTGCTTCTTGCTTTCGAGAGTTTGCATCAAGCTCTTCTAGGCCAGTGGTGGCGAACCTATGGCACGCGTGCCAGAGGCGGCACTCGGAGCTCTCTCTGTGGGCACACGCGCCATGCCCTGGAGATGGCAACCGTCCCTCTTCAACCAGCCGCCCGCTAGCTCACCGAGGTCCCACGTGGCCAGATACATCCCAGCACACTGGCCTCTGTGTGTGGGGGCTGTGTGATGATGTCAGGCAGCAGTCGCCCCGGCCCCTGCCTCGCCTTGCCCTGCGACAATGGCACCCCCGCCCTGCCTCGCCTTGCCTCACCCCGCAGGACGAGCCTCCTGCCTACTGTCCCACCTGCCAGAGCCCCCCTGGATCTCCCCCAACCCTCCCCACGAGCAACATCGAGGTGACCACACCCACCTTGGCCATACCCACCCAGTCTGCCATGACCACCACAGCCACGTCCACCCAGTAGGCCACGCCCACCTGGCACCCGGTAATAAATAACTGGTTTTCGGTTGCAGTTTGGGCACTCGGTCTCTAAAAGGTTCGCCGTCGCTGTTCTAGGCGCTCCCGCTGCTCTTCTCTCCATTTGCGAATGCTCTCTGGTTCTGTCTGCAGACGATCAGCTTGAGATATAGCAGCGTAGCAGTCTGTAGGACCATTGCTCTCCTGATAGATATCGCCATTCGTCACTCCATCAATTGCCTCTTCGGTCAGCGCGTCTTGGCCTTGCAGCCCGACGGGCACCTCGCCGTTTTCCAAGATACTGTAGCCCTCGTCGTTCTCGATGCCCGCGATTTCGTTCTCCTGCTGGGCCAGGAAAGTGGCGGCTGGGTCTTCTTCGCCGCCGACCCCCAGCGCCCCATTTCCCGCCACTGGCTGAGGGGAGCCGAAGAGATCAAACTCGGCCATGAGCGAAAAGGAATGCCGGGGGGGGGGGGAGCCAACCGAAGGAACGGACCCAAGAGACAAGCGGCAAAAATTTTTTTAAAAAACCCAACAACCCCACACGAAGCAACCGTTTAACGGATAGCAAGCACTATTTCCGGCTTCCTGCTGCTGAAAATTAGCTTTAAAATGATTTTATTGCTGTGATTTTAAAAATATTCTACAAATGTGACAGAATAGCTTTCAAACTAGAACTTTCAAACAGTAGTTTAAGATATTGATCTTAAAATGAAACCATAAAAAACCCGTTTTCCATCATCCCCGCTGAGCACAATATTGAGAGTTTTAGAAAATAAGTTCTGAAGAGTTAGTGATATTGTGTTATGCAACTATACCAACTTCATTTAAATGATATTTCACTAAACTTGGAAATTAAAAGCTGATGGAAATATCCTGTTAAAAAAGAAATGGGCTAATCCAAAGATGCCACCTGTAAAGGTGATGGTGGCTGCATGTTGTGCTGTGACTAGACCCTCCAACTCACTGCCTCATCACCTGGACACTCTGCAGTTTGGCATTTTTTTTCAGGAGAAAATCAGATCTTTGGCACTTTGAGGAAAGTTAGATGGACCACCAGGGAACATTGTTGATGGCACACCAACACACTTCATAAAAGAAGAAAAGGCACTTCCCTTGCAGGATATGGAGGCGCCCTCCACTCAGGATCGGGCCCTTTTTCTATGAAACCCCAGTTCTGGGCCTATCACTGGTATAAATTACCAAACACGGAAATGCTAGGTGGGGATTGCGACCCGCAGCTCTCTAATGCCTGTCTCTCTTTGCCTAGGGCGACAGTGGTGGCCCCCTGGTTTGTCAGGATAGTAATCGATGGTACTTGGCTGGGGTCACCAGCTGGGGAACTGGCTGTGGTCAGCAAAACAAGCCAGGCGTCTATACCCAAGTCACCAAGTTCCTTGGTTGGATTTACAGCCAAATGGAGGTGAGAGGGTCCTTGCTTGCTCACTTGTTTGGAGGGCTGTGAAGAGGGGAATTTGGGTGGCATGCAAAAATTAGAAATGGGCATGGAAAGAAGCTAGAGCAAGAGGGGCACTTGAACCCACTCCCGACATGCTTGATTAAACATGGGACAGAGGCAGGCGTAATTGAGCCTGACGCGGCAGGGATTTGGTTCAGGCCTGGCCGTACCTGGCATCCTGCAAACCGCTCTCTGGGAGAAGGACTGAGCCCTTCCTTGTTTTTCCCAGAAAACATGCAAGTACAGAGCCTCCTTTCTCCTACGCTCCTATGCAGCTATCAGGGAGGGGGAAAATAAGCAGAAATGACTGGGAGTCATTACGCATAACCAAGGGGGGGCATCTTCCTTTCTGTCAGAAAAGGGGGAGGTGGGGAGAAGGCAGCAACCTCTGAGCCACCTGGTGCTGCCTTGGGGCACAGCAAAGGAAGGTTTGCCTTCCAATGACTGGGAGAGGTGAGTTATTCAGGCTGTGCAAAGGGGTCACTGTAGATTTAAATGGCAGTCCTGAAACACTGTTTATGCAATGTTGCCACTAGCTTGGGAATTTGCTTTGGCTGAGGGGTGTTTCCTTTGACCCTCAACTGGCACCGGCCGGACAGAGGCTTGCTTGCTACTCTGTGCCTGGGATGGATTTTCTCCCACCAGGCCAGAGGCTGATTCTAGGCCTTGTTCAGGAATTCCCTCCTTCTTCTTGTCTTGCCTTGCAGAGTCAGAGCCCCTAGAAGAGAACTACACCTTCACTACTTTCTGGGGAAGCGGAAGAAGCGCGTGGAGGTGGGCCGACTGCACCTTCTTGCCTTGGGTCGCAAGGATGCCGGTGGGCAGGGGGCAGCTGGGCTCCTCCCAATGTCCTCTGGGACCTCTGGGCTGCTGTTGGGGACCCTGGTTTGAAGGATGAAGCTGGTACTGAGGCTGGAGCCAAGTCCTTGGCGAGACATGCTAGGGCAGGATGGGATGACCTTGCTCTGTGGAAGTGACCTTCTGAGATCTGGCCACATCTGAACACCAGACAGTGCTGACTTCGGAGTTCTCAGCAGACAAAACAGGGTCAGTTGCAACCCCTCCTAGGGCAGGATCTGACTGGCAGCACTACAGGCTCCTGGAAACTGGACTCGCTAGAACAGCCCTCTGCTACCTCACCACTTCAGTGCTTCTGTACCTTTGCCTTGGCGGCCCACTGTGACCCCTCCCCTGGAGAAGAGGGGGAATTGCACAAGGAACATGCAGACGTTAACACCCCCATCCCCCAGTATTGACTTTCTACTCCCAAGCACACATCTCCTTCTGTCTCTGAAGTCTTTTCCTGAAAAGGAACATTTTATTTGCTGAAAACAGAACTGCCAGTCTGGGCCTGCTCATTCTGCAGATTCCTTGCCCCAATTTGCTTCTCTGAATCATGGTAGCAGCTGCCCCTTGCTGCCTCCCCACCCTCCCTGTCACCTTCTCTTTCTCTTTCTCTCCTTCTGCGATGGCTGGGAAATGACCTGTGACAGCTAAGCCAGAGAGGGTCTTCTTAAGCTCCACTGTCAGGGATTACCTTGCACATTGGCTGGTGTTACAATTGGAACCTGAAATACGATTTGTGTTTGTGCATGTGTGTGTTAAAGGTTCTAAGACATGGGGAAAAGGAGAGGTGGCAGAAGCGACCCAGAGGCACCTCTTGCCCCAAGGAGCTGTGGCCAGCAGTGCTAGGAGAGGCCTCCAATCTGTGTCCAGTCAGGACCTCCCATTCCCTCCTTTGATCACATCATAAGAGACAGGCTATTACTTCTTCTGAAACCACATGTAAGTGGAGAACTTTAGGGTGTGACCTTTCCCCATCTGTGGCCAATCTAATGCATCTCATAAGCAGACAGGTGTGGACAGTATCTTTTGCTCTCACTGTTCTGAAAGCTCCATTTGGCTTTCTCCTCTGGCTTTGCTGCCCCCCCCCTTGATAAAGACCCCCACTGGTCAAGATATAGCAGGAATGGGGAGGGGAGAGCATTGGGACCCCTGCCTGGGCTTCTCTAGGCTGCTTGCCTGCTCTCTGGCCACACCCCCTCAAGTCCACCAGCTAGGTCCTGGAGAACAGGAGAACTGCAACTGACCAGCAGTGGGCACCTCAATCTCAGGCTTTAGAGGTGTGGGGGGAAAGGATTGAAACCAGCAGATAGAAGGACCCAGGCAGTCAAGCTGCACCCCAGTTCACCCTCCTGTTTGCTTTTGGGACCTGACAAGGAAAGGCAGCGCCTCTGTATGGAAAAAAAAAAGACTGCAGGACTGCAGAAACAAAATGGCTTCAGTATAGTGGATGCCATGGGCAGGGCCATCACGAGATTTGTGTTCCAGTTGCCTTTCTTGCACAACCCAGCAGTGGGATCATCCAGGTGACTGGGGTAGGTTCTGACTCACCTGGAAGCTATAGTTTGTTGACCTGCATGGTTGGCTCAGTGGTACCTAGATGAATTAACTTCCAACACTAATTGGATCAGGGCTGAAGGACGCCCTTTTATGGCTCCTGGAGATTCCAAGCCGGAGGAGGCAAGCTTCCCAGCCCAGGCAGGGGGCCTACGTCGGGCCTCTCCGCTGTCAGATAGCAGAGCTGGCAACAGGTGGACTCAAAAATCCAGTTTTCTCTCTGGAGAAAACTGCTTCCCCTTCCCCGCTCCAGGAAGGGCCCCATCCGCAATGGCAGGGACCCGCGCACCGGAACAGTTCCCAGCGAAGAGGAGGCACGGAGGGCTGTATCTTGGCTGCCCGGCCCTCCTCAGCCAACCCGGCTGGGGGACTGGGGCTTACTCGAGAGTCTCGGCTCAGAAGGCCTGGGCGAAGGGGCTCCCGGCGCGGCCGCACGTGCTGACATCACAGGCGTAGGGAGGGGAGGGACCCCGACCCCGCCCGGGCACGTCGAGCGCAGCCAGCAGCCGCCCGCCTTTCCTCCGGGCGCGCGCCTAGATCTCCATTTTCGCCTAGCTTCTGCTTTACTCCCGGCCGAGCGCGGCCATGCCCGAGCCCCTGGCACGCCCAACCCTTGCCAGCTGCGAGGGGACGCGGGCTTGAGCCGCGCCACAGTCGGGAGGCAGGAGACGCCCAACCTGGTGCGCGGGTTTTCCCACTGCGGACGCCGCCTGCCCGGGAAGGACTCCCGAGGGGAAGGTAGGAGGCGGGACGGGAGGAGCCAAACGGCCGGACCGACGGCCTCTCCCCTTCTTACTCTCGGCTGGTCGAGGGCTCCGTGGCTGGGTGTTCGAGAAGTCCTGCGTCCCTGGGACGCGGGCGGGCGGCCCCTCTGGGCGGCGGGGCCCCTCAGTTTCCCGAGACCGAGCGCCCAGCCTTTGGGCTCAGCTGGCAGCGCTTCGGACTCCGGAGATCCGCTCTGCAAGGGGAGGGGGCCGGAGACAAGAACCCTCACGGCTCCACGGAGAAGCGGCTTCTGGGCACGTGCAGGCCGACCCGCGGTCCGCTTGTCGAGCTCAGCCGGGCGGCGAGGGGCGGTGGACTGGCAGGGCAGGCGACATTTCCTCGGGGGAAACGCTGTTCTTCCGCACCCCGCCCTTCTGGGTTGCTGATCGCGACCTCCGCCGGCGGGGAGGCGGCGCGCGTGAGTCTGTCTGGCGCGGCCTCCCGCCCAGGCTCGCAATTGGCTTTCCGGTTGCCGTGTCAACCGCGGGCTGGCACGGCACTCTTGCCACGGGGTTGCCTGGTTACCGCTCATCTCCCTCCATGGAGCGCGGGGACGCCCCGCCGGGGCTGCCCCTCCCCGCCCGTCTGCCGCGCCGTGACCGGCGGAGAACCGCGCGCTCCTCCCCGCGACAGCTGGGGCGCCGCGGCGGACTCTCGTCCGCCCCTTGGAGTCGCGCGGCTCGGGCCTGGGGAGGCTCCTGCTCTCGGCCCGCGGCCCCCGCGCCACGACTCTCGGAGACCCGGGCGGGTCCCTGGCGCGCCTCGCCTCCTTTCGGCCAAAAGGGCTGCGAGCCCCGGCGGGTCGCGCTTTGTTTACTGGCCTTGCGGGGCGGGACTGACATCGGCTGGCGCGTCCGAGCCGCGGCCGCCGCCGTCACGCGCAAAACATCTCGGGCAGCCCCCCTTCCCATCGTGGCGCAGGCGCAATTTTGGCAATGCCGGGTGGGGGGAGAAGGCTGGCTGCGTCGGGTTTTTCGTTGTTCTCTCTTCTATATTTGGAAATAAACACCGTCCCCCTCCCCCCTCCAAACAGTTGGGAAGCAGCCGCGGCGCGAGGCGCCCACCAGCCAATTCGCTTGGATGCCTAACCAGAAACGGGCGGGTTGTTTCGTCGGGCTCCGGAATGAAAGCGAAGGAAGGACAGGCGCTGCCCTGCGAGGGGGGCCCAGAGGGCGCTTGGAGGTTGGGGGAGAAACGGTCAAGGTCGTGCAGCTCTGCCCGGCCAGAACTCTCTCACTTCCACCAGGTGGGCTTGCAAACATCTGGGGGGGGGAGCTGTCATTACAAGACCACAGCCTGAAGGCAGTTGGCCTCAGTTAAGAAGTGAATGGATGAGAGCCGGGGCTCCTCTTGAGACTCCTTTGGTCTTCACCCATGGAAATGGCTGTGGGGGAGCTCAGTGAGATTTCCCACACCCTCCTTTCTGCCAAGAGGCTCTTACTGATGAGAGATGCACTCGCTTCAGACATGAATGGCACTCTGCCCTCTTTACCTGTGTCCAGAGGACCCCCGCAGCCCACCAGCTGCCACAATTCTTGAAAGCACAGTATGATTCGGATCCTTCTTGACCTCTGCAGCACTGCCTGCCAGACAAATGGGAGGGCAGCTCTTTTCTGGGGAAGGGTGCCTCCACCAGGCTGATCATCCTCCTGGTTTTGAAATAGTTGCATGTGTGCAGTAGTTAATGCCAACTGCATGATAGATTTTTAATCTGCTTTATGATGGTTCTGTGCTTTGGCTTAAGAGGGCTGTTTGGTCAGGGACAGGCTGGGAAGCCACCTTTCTGGGTCTGTCAGTTTCCTAAACAGAGATTTCTCTGTCTAACTCTGCTTCTTGGCCCAGTGATGGTCCTGATCCAGAGGGAGTCAGGTGCATCCATCTGGGTTACAATACTGTGGCAAGTTCCCAGACATGACTGATTGTAGCTTATTCAACTCCTGCAGTTCAGTATGTTCAAAGATCCCAGTCCACTGGCTTGCTCAAGGCAATCATGGTTAACAAAACAGTACATGCCTTTTTGCTAGATAGATAGATAGATAGATAGATAGATAGATAGATAGATAGATAGATAGATAGATATTTATTTATTTATTTATTTATTTATTTATTTATTTATTTATTTATTATTTATTTATTAATTGGATTTTTACCCCGCCCTTCTCCTTACGGACTCAGGGCGGCTGACAGCCTGATAAAAACAAATACAGAAATACCCCAATTTAAAAGCATAATTAAAATGAAATATTTGATTTGGCCTGTGTCAATTTAAAATTGTTTTTAAAACCCCACTAAAAATCTCCCCCTAGGCCAGTCCTGCTTGTTGAAATAGC